ATTGCACATCGTACTGCTGAATGGAGATCAATAGTGAATAAAGCAAGTACCATGCCAATTGATCATATACCATCAAGTTTGGAATATTGTCAATTACGTTTACAAACAGATATTCACTTGAAAAATCTTTGTTTTATAAATAATTTTTGAGGAATATTTATGAATTAAATATGTATGTTTACCCATTTCTGTGCTGATTCCATGAAGATGTTTCATTTTGTAAATACTGTTTTGTAGAAATTCTGTAAAAATTATGAAATTTACAGTGATAACTTCTTTTGTATAAATGTATGAAATCATTCATTTTTGTTAGAAATATAAACAGATTATTTTCTATAGAGTTCAACATGGATCGTTGTTGCTACCTCAACAAATACGGAGTTAACACGAAAATTACTCACAAAAAGGTCGTGTGTGACTGACCTCAAGCAGTTGTCCCGATGCACATATGTGCCTGGTCCTACGTTGTAGCTGACTGAACATGGAAATGTTTATTTTTTAATTATTAAAATAAGGAAAATATTTTGATAAAAAATGGATAGTTCAAATGGTGATAATAACAATTCTCGGGTATTGATCTCCACTTATCGACTTAGAATACGCAGAGTCTTCTGGTAGCCCTAAGCAACAATGCCAGAATGTTTGGAATGCGCTTCTCTCCCTCTAAATGCAAGTTGTCGCTTCAGGACCGGCCTGGGTCAACACCTGAACTAAAGATAGGTAGTGAAACAGTAGAAAGCGCTGAGAACTTCACTTATCTTGCAAGTCTGATCAGCCTTAATGGGTTGGTGTCTAACGAAATCGAAAAGCTCGTTTAACTTTTGCCAACTTACGTCGCCTATGGCGAAGGTGAGATATCCGTCTATCAATAAAAGGACGAGCTTATTGCGAGGCAGTCCGTTCTGTTTTAATTTACGGTAGCGAAACATGGCCATTAAGAATAGAATATACTCGTAAGCTACTAGTATTTGATTACAGATGCCTTAGAAATATTGCTGGGATCACTAGGTGGCAAGTAATAGTGAGGTAGACGCGCAGGGTATTAGCGAATGATGGTAAATCAGTTGATGAGGTTGTGCATCTTCATCGAATGAGATGGTTGGCCACGTGTTACGTATACCTGAACACCAATTACCACGACGCGCAATGTTAACCGGTGTTCGGGATGGTTGAAAGTTAGGGGCGGTCAAACCAGAACATGGCATCAGTCCACAAAGTCACTAACTTTCTGGTCTGAGCCACGTTGATAGATGCAGACTACTTGGTTGGGGTCCGTGTGACTATCGTAACCAATAGTTGAAGACTCTGTGACATGGCTCAGAATTGATCACAATGGCGTAGGTGTATACACTCTCTGTCTTCCCTTAAACTAAGAGATTAAAATCGCTTCATATCTTTCTTTCTTAAACTAACTCTTTCTTCCTGTACTATATCCTTATTGCAATCTTTTATATATTACCGCCATTGACTTAACTACTGTGCATCCGGTGTTCATCTTGTGCTAATGCGGTGTGGCAACTTGGACCGATGCATATATGTGCGTAGTCCTATGTCGTAGCTGACTGACTGAATAACAATCGTTCACTTTAAAATTCAATATTGATTAGACCTTTTCAATTGGCCAAAAACTACGGTGAAACTATAATTTATGGACAACCTTTGAACGAAGTCAAAGTGACCTTGACAGTGTCCGCGTAATAACCAGGATCAAATGATGGTTATAAACCTGTGTGAGGAATTACCATTATGATTCACAGTTGGTGATTAAGGTTAGGAATTCGATTTCGGGTTTTGATCATGAACTGACATAAGCTATAATGCCAAAACTATTCAGCCAAATGGATGAGTGAATTTCGAGCCAAAATTCGAGACCTATTGTCTTATACGTGATTTGTTCGTCTATAAATTTTAGTCTCGCCAAAACTATTTCTGTTACTGATTTTCACTTTGAAATGATTGGAAAAGAAATCTAATCCATTAGATCACATAAATAAAATATGAGTTGTATATCTATCATCTGACAGTAAATAATGGTGACATTATCTGGTCGTTTGAACTAGTTTTAGATGTTCTAGCTCATCCAGTCTGAAACGTAGAATCACCATCGTGTGTCGATGTATTCACACTGATATCGTCAGTATTGTGTTATTCACAGTGTTTAAACTAGTCTGTAACTATAAAGCTAAGATCTGATGATCGACAGCTGAACTTCCTTGAACCAATCAGCTTATGACTGACTCCGTAGACCGTCAGTTTGGTTAGACATTAACACCGTTGGATGCCGGCTCAGTGATCTGGAGGTTAAGCACTCACACGCGAGACCGAAGGCTCTGGGTTCAAATCCTGCGAGCAGGATCTTGGATGTGAATTTCTAAGGAGTCCCACAATCGAACGAAATAGCCGTCCAATACTTCCAGTTTTTCAATGGTGGTCTTACAACAATCGGTTCATGATCTCAATCAAAAACTTAATAATCTCCACAACTTCATACTGATGGTTTGTTTGCTTCTAAACTAAAAATTTTTTCTGAAATAGTGACATTTCTAGTCTTTTTTTTATCGTAACGTAGAAATGCAATTTTGTTGTTGGACACTTTAAAGTTGATAGAGGTAGATAAAAAAACAGTATAATCTCCACGTTAACAACACAACAAGATTAAATTACAATGGTGATAGATATCATGTCAATGCGAATGGAGAACACTCTCACTTCTAGTTTATATCAACTTGATATAATTTACTCAAACTTGATACTGTATACTTCATGGTTTCAGTATGCAACGTTATACAATTCATATGTATTAATTCTCAGTATTTACATGTATGCATAGTATACAAAAATTACAATTTTTTAATATTTCTATGACAAGTACTCTTAGTATTATCAAGCTAAATTCTTAGTAATACAATCATTCAGACTAGTTGTTTAGTAAAAGAAAGTCACAACATAACAATCATATTCCTTAAAGTAATGACTAACTATGAAATTATTCCCCATTGTATCTCTTTTTTGGACATCATAAATCTCATTTACGAATGATATTTATTCTCAATCTATGGGTTGGAAAGTAAGATAAACGGTATCGTGTTAGTCTTTTTTCAGTTTTGAAAGAAATCTAATAAGAGAAGATTTATGCTATCTACAGTTCATTATGATGTTTTTAAAAAATCAGCTGACATATAACAGATCAACTTGAGCCAACACAAATTTATCTTAAACCGTACATTGACAACGAACTGATTAGGTGACAATATAAGAAAAGCCTTTTGACTAGAAGGAACAATTCCAACTTCCTTATACTAAGCTCCCAAATGACCTGATACGGCAGAGTGAAGAGAGTCCGCTCTCCCTATCGAAATGCTCTCACATGGCCACGCGTATATAGCCACTGCCAGGGAAGTTCTACTCATTGCCTTCTCGTGGCGGGGGTGTTGCTTACGAAAATGAGAGGACGAAAAGTGAATGTCCGGCGCTTTAATCGTGTTTGTGGACACGGATAGTCCGCCTCGGGGAGTTGGAAAACCCTGATTGCAAACCAATGGTGCACATGGGCTCCAGTATCCTGAAGGAACAAATGGCGTATGAACCAATCGTTGATCACCGGTTACCATGTGATTGCATCCCCTAACGTTGCCTTGTGGATCAGACCTTTAGGTTGAAGGCTTGGGGTGTGGCCCCCTAAGAAAACCACTTGCTTCGGTTTGGGCACCTGGGCAGTATCCCATCCATCACAAAAAATGGAAGGATTTATGTGGAGCATATCTATTTGTACTAATGTTTATGTGTTTAAATAAATAATCCTCATACTAAGGAACCGAAGTATCCATGGTGCTTGAGGCTAATAGAATAAGGACAAGTTTGTAGTTTTTGTTTCAGCAACGCTTAGTATCTATTTTAACAAGAAACAACGGCTGTTTGAATCTCTCTCATTTAAAATGTTATGCATATTAACATTAAAGTTTAATCAACTCATATTCCATATAATGGAACGTATTAAGAAGAAAAAGAACAAAATTCAGTCGAAAACTTCATGTAAACAAAGTAGACTAATTTTTTGGATGAATGAATGGGAGTGTAGGCCGAAATGATGAAAAGACAACGACGTGTGTCCCTATCCTTCCGAGTTTTTGCAAGGAACCATTCTAAAAGTGCTTCTACCCTCATACTTAGTGCTATGCCTATATCCATCAGTCCACGAGAACTTGCCGTCGGGTAGTCAAGTAAACGGACAATGTATCGAGTCGGCTCCCCGTTTCGGCTAGGGTGAGGTCAAGGAAATGATCACACTATGTATATTAACATTAAAATTTAATCAACTCATACTCCATATAATGGAACAGATTAAGAAAGAAAAAGAACAAAACAAAATTCATTCTTGATGGAGTTTTTTCTCTGAGCTGGATGGTTTGTTCGTGGAGCTTTCATCGTTCTTCTGAAAAGCATCATCAGCACAAACTTCAGATAGAAGTGAAGTGTTCGAATTCCTCCAAATGCGTTTCACGGCTTGTTCTGTACATCTCGACGTTGATTGGTTCTTATTGACCTTAAATTTGTCACTGTTTACTCCTTTGTTTTGGTTGTGTCTCCCATTGGTTTGATTTTTGTTCAATAAGAACCAATCAACGTCGAGGTGTATAGAACAAGCTGTAAAACACATGGAGAAATTCGAACACTTCACCTCTATCTGAAGTTTGTGCTGATGATGTCGTTCAGAAGAACGATGAAAGCTCCACGACCAAACCATCCAGCTCAGAGAACAAAACTCCATGAAAATCATCCAGCTGGGCTACAAATCTTCTCCGCCATCACAAAATTCAATCGAAAATTTCATGTAAAGAGAATGTAAACTAATTTATTTTGATGAATGTTGTTGTTTGTTGTACAAAGAATATTCATATCATGATTTTTTTTGTCGCCTCAATAACACAAAGAAAAGAATATTATATTCATATGAAGTCAATAAATCAATAATCTATACAAAAAAAGAGAGAGAAATATTTGTGCCGGTTTAGTCATTGTAGTTGATAGTGGTTGCGGTAGTGAACAGTTTCATATAAATAAATGATAAACAAAATATATAGAAAGTTCACTTGCATGTTTATGTAAAAAGTAATATATATATATCAAGTAATTATTTATAAATTACCATAGTGATAGAAGGGGGGAAGAGAATGAATTTCCTTTGTTCTTATTTTCGTTATTGTTTATATTTTTGTAGAGGGGGGAGGGGCAAAAGGTTTGATATGTGAGCAAAGAAAAATATAAATTATTGTTTCCGTGACAAATGAATCAGAAATTACATATCAAATAGTATATTTAGTAGTCGTAGTAGTATTGCTGTTGTTGTCGTCGCAATTTGTGCATTTAGAAAGAAAGGAGGATGATATGCCTCATTACATTTGTGAATTTAGTTATTATGAATATAAATGTTGATTGTTCTCATGTACAATAGCTTGAATTTGTCTAGCGAATTCTTCGTCATTAGTAACAGGGTCAATTGAATTGTCTGCTGAATTCAACTCTTTGTCCATATCACCAGCAGGATCTACACGAGGAGTATGTGTGAAGTTTGAGTTAGATAAACCCGGTGTAGAAGGACTACGTGATATTCGACAGAATTCGTCTAATTCCGTGTTAGTTGGTGATGTAATGGTTGTAGTAGTATTGTGTAATTGATAACCCCGATTGGTTACTATTCTACTTCGTGGCATTGTCGACTGAAGATAATCACTCATTGGTGGTGCCCCGTGATAGTCGTGTAAGTTTGTGACAACTGCAGACGCTCCCATACGAGGTTGATTGGTATGTGATCTGTATTTTTTAAAAATGAATGATGTTATAAGAGCAATACAATAAGTATATATGTAATCAAATAGTTCGAAATGTATTGCGCTAATATATCGCATAGTTCTGGTAATATTCGTCTTATCAAAGGGACTAATTACTTTAAATAGCTATCATACTTGAAAATTATCAAAAATAAATTATTTCAACCGGTTAGAAAAAGTTGATTTTCACAACATGAATTGAGATGAACAAGTAGATCATGTAACGATTTGAATATTAGACGAAATTAGATAAATATCAACTAGTGAATCTAATTTTTAAAACAATACTTAGAACTATCAAAGCAAACTATCCGATTATTTATTACTGAGATTCCCAACATTATTTTTAACAGTTCATAATAAAAACTTTTTTTCTGGTTAGCGTCAACAAGCAGAAATACGTAGAAGATCTAGCAATGACAGCGGTAAAAGCTGCAAGAGAAGGAAATCAGTCAGTCAGCTACAACGTAGAACCAAGCACATATATGCATCGGTAAAAGTTGCCACACCTCATTAGCATAACAAGACCACCAAATTCATCGAAGTAGTTAAATCAATGGTGAAAAAAACTATATAATGATATGATACAGGTAGAAAGGAAGCTATAAAGTAGTTTTAGCCTCACGGTTTAAGGGAAGACGAAAAGTATATACACCTACGCCATTGTGATCGATTCTGAGCCATGTCACCCACAGTCTCATACCATTGGTTATGAAAGCCGCGCGGACCCCAACCAAGTAGTCTGCATCTATCAACATGGCTCAGATCAGAAGTTAATGACTTTATAGACCAATGCAACGTTTCTGTTTGACCAACCGTCTTCAAAACTAGTCAGCATTTCGTGTCGTGGTAATCGGGATTCAGGAATACGTAACACGTGGCCCAACCATCTCAGTCGATGGAGATTCGCGACCTCATCATCCCCATCTAGCCTTACTACTACTTACCCGGTGATTCCAGCAGATGCGAGCAATATTTCTAAGACATCTGTGGTCAAATACTAGTAACTTACAAGTATCATATACTCTAAATGGCCACATTTTGCAGCCGTAAAGTAGAACGGAACGAACTGCCGCGCAGTATACTCATTCTTTTATTGATAGATGGATATCTCACCTTCGCCATAGGTGACGTTGAGTTCAACTCTAATGTTAGACGATATCTCTCCTTATGTTTAAAATTAGTGCTTGTTAAAGATAAACGATTGTCTGAGCAGTTGCAGCAGACGGTCACCATTATCCGTTCGCTGAGCCGGATTACTAAAATATTCACCTAAATGTCTTTCTGTTTGATTTAAGCCACCTACTTGGGCATTAAAGTTACTTGCTACTAGTACTACTTCCGAGTGTTTAGCTTTTTGATGAAGTTCACAAAGCTTTCTGTGGCATCTTTCACTTCATCCAGGCAACAATCAGTGGGAGCGTATGCCAAAATGACGAAAATGCAACGACATATGTCCCTGAAATTTAGAGAACTACTACAACCATCATCAAATAAGTACAAGTATTTAAAAACAATTTTATATTCAAGGTACTCAATGTCCGTTGTCGACCGGATACCATCAACAACAACCTACTGTGGGAGAGAACCAACCAGTTTCAAGTTGAAGAGGAAATTAGGAAAAGACGTTGGAAGTGGATAGGACATACTCTTCGGGAATCATCAAACTGCAATACTAGACAAGGCCTAACTTATAATTCTGAAGGGAAAATGAAAAGTGGGAGGCTAGAGAACTCACTGAGCCGAGAATTGAAAGCAGATGTGAAAAGGATGAATAGTAACTGGAATGGATTGCCTAAGACAGAGTTGGTTGAAGAATCCTGATAGATGGCCTTTACTTCTTCTTGATGGACTATAGGCGTATGTCAGTAAAGTAAATAGCATTAAGAACATTCTTACTCACTATTTTATGATTAGGTGACTTGTATTATTGCAGTAACAATCAGAAACGGATAACACTTACCTTAATGACTTTATATATGAGCTAGGAGATGATGCATGTAAGCCAAAATTTCGATTAATCCCATTACTATTATATGATTGAATATTTGTATCAGTAATGTATTGTTTATTTGGTTCAGTATTATTCATCAATTCACTATCATCATAATCATAGATACTTTCGGAGTAATTTTGTGATCTCAATCCGCTTGAATTTAGTAAAGGTATTACTGATATTGATCTAGGTCCACCTTCATTAAAGTCACTTTCATCAGGATTACAGTGTAAATTACTTTCTGTACTTGTTAAATGTAAATTAGATGAAAATTGAGGAATTGGTGAATTATTACAGACCGCTTTACTTGCATTAATTAATTGAGATTGCTTGATCAGTTCATTTTGCCATGATTTCAATATCTGAATACGTTCAGCTTCATTAGCTAGTAGACGTGCTTGGGCTTCAGCTAAACGTGCTTGTGATGCATCCAACTCACTTCGAAGATCTATTATAGTTGTAGGTGTATTATTCTTCATGATCATCAAAAGAAACATGCAAAAATTTCAAGTGATGTGTTAATTTATTCCCTTTTAAAAAATAATTAGAGTATACAAAGTAAATAACAACAAATTACTGTGGGAGAGAACAAACCAAATTCCAATGGAAGAGGAAATTAGGAAAAGACGCAGGAGGTGCATAGGACATACATCTCAGAAACCATCAAATTATATCGCTAGGCAAGCTATAATCTAGAATCCTGATGAAAAAAGGGAGAGGAAGACTCAAGAACACGTTGTACTGGGAATCGGAGGCAGACATCCTGAATGAAAAGGACTTGGTAACAACTGGACAGGAGATCCCAGAAAATAGTTGAAACATCCTCTCCCCTCCCGAGAGGTTTCAAGCGTATGTAACACAAGTTAAACATATAACATAATAGACGATATGCATTGACCACGGGGAATGAAATAATTGTGTTTACCAGCCGCACCTACATTTCACTTTAGTTAACTTATGGGTCAGGTAGGACATTTTTATGTGTATCAAAGGACGAGTATACTACGCAAAATTTCGTTTGTATTATTTCCGGACTGTAAAGCATGGTTGATAGAAGTGAGAAACATATCCAGTTTGTAAGTAATTGATCATAAGCATCTTCCAAAAATTGTTTAGCATAACGGAATCATTTAGTATGTAATGCTAACGGTTAAAGATATGGCTATAGGTAATAATGGCAAATCAATTGATAAGACTTTAAATCCTTATTGACCAACGTAAAATGTTTGCAATCATCTGAATAGGCTCCAAAATCCTAGAGTCGACCACATCAAGAAGCAGTATCAATCTGGATTCATTTAGTGCTGAACAAATGTAAAGAACATATGTAGAAAACCACACCTTATTTGAGTCCATGAGATAAACAGAAACCCTGGTTGGAGACCAGTTTCTGAATGCGTACTGTTCATTCTTTGTTGCATTATCAAATCTCAGATTTCAATGCTATTTCATAGCCGTGGTACAGAAGAAAATGGGAAGGGTAAGCCCTTCCACTCGAAATGATTTTACATCGCAGAGCGTATACAACCATTAACAGAGAACTCCTACTCACTACCTCGCGGCATTACTGTTGTTTACAAAATTGAAGGGACGAAAAGTCAACGTCCGACTCTTCAGTCGAGTTGGTAGATATGGAGGATCCACCTAAAGGCATTAGAAAACCCTGGTTCCAAACCAATGGTGCACATGGGCTCCAGTATCCTGAGTGAACAAATGGCGTATGAACCAATCGTTGGTCACCGGTTACCATGAAACTGCATCTCCTTACGTTGCTCCACTGACTTGTGGATTAGACCTTTAGGTCAAAGGCTCCGTATGTGGCCTCCCTTAAAAAACCCACCTGATTCGGTTTTGGCACCCGGACAGTATCACAGCCCTCATACAAACCGAATGATTTATGTGGTGCATATCTATTTGGTGCCTCGTTGTACCAATGTTTGTGTGTTTAAATAAATAAACGTTTTATCCCTCTATTTCGTTCATTTCTTTTTCAACTGCTACATATATATGTGTAATTTTTATTTGTTGATGATATCATCATTATTTCGGTTTTTTGAGTTTCATTTAACCAATTCCCTCAAGCTGTGTTCAGATGATGTGTTGTATTTTGGATCAGTTCCTGTATGTACAAAACTTCGTATACTTGACGAAATGTATTGCGCTAATATATCACATAGTTCTGATAATCTTCGTCTTCTCATTACATTATCGAAATGTCACTTTATTCGATTTTTGAGTGATGTGATCGTTAGTGTGGCTATGGCTTGTGAAATGAAAATGCTTAGAATGTGGTTTAAAAACAAACCTCTTGGTTTCAAGAAGGTTCTTTAATGTAAAATGTTACTTCTAAGTATAATAAACTATCTAAATTCCAAGAAACACTGAAAATCCATGACTAAAAACACTGAAATACACATTCAAGATATTTGATATCAATCTGTTGCTCGGTGTTTAGGATTTCTTATGTATCTTAGTTAACCCTTTAACATTCGAATGCCTTTTGTAATTGTGATTGACACTAAATACTACTAATAGGGTTTATTTCTGTTAGGTGGCTGAAATTCGTTAGGCAACCATGGACCCAAGTTTCTTGTTATCTGTTACTTGTCTGTAAGGTCTATGTACCTGAAATCTCGACTGGTCTACAGTAGAAATGAAATATTTATAATTGGTTAATCACTGATTCTTAATCAATGTCGCGTATTTCTAGTCCTTTAGTTCATGAAACCAGTGTCCAGTCTCCTGCCAACCACCTTTAACCATCTAAAGTATCAACAAACGCACGTGATGTAAAGTCACTCAGACTAGCAGTCACATTGCAATTTGATTAACAAGTTTCGATTACCATCAATGCACTAAAGACGTGATATTAGTGACTAGACAGTAATCAATCAACTGATATCCGTTCTAATTAAAGATAGATTTTTATCAAAGACTGACATTAATTGTTGTGGTTCAGTGGTTAGGGTTTTTAACTTGCAGCCGCCACGTCCCGGGTTCGAATCTCGCTACGTTTACTTCAATTTGAGCAACTGAGTATCATCAGTAACATTCACGTTTAGGGTATGGGTCTGGTAAGTGAATTAGAAGCACTTCTAAAAATCCTGATCTTCGAGTGAGGAAGACATCATTTAGTCGAAAGCCAAAGGTAAACACTTCCAATTTAAACCAATGTGCTATATAGCACCCGGATAGTTCAATATTATTATAAGTAGTATTATTACCTGTTTCATTTGAGAATGTTCGTTAATTTTACTCAACAAAAGAATAACAAAGAGAGAGAGAGAGAGTAAAAGCTTACTTCTGATGAAAATAATGCAGTCCTTTTATTGGGAATTGCACCAATAGTATGAGAAGTATTTGATGGAATAAATTTGATTCGTTGAATTTCTGTTTGTAATGTAGAATTTTGACATAATTCTTGTTCAGATGGTGAAAATTTAAATGGATCAGTAAAATTTACATTTTCTTGACCATAATAATTGAGAGTATTTTGATCTGTAGTATAATTTATTGATTCAGTTGGTGAATTTACATGTTCATAAGATGTTGGATATGTAAGAGTGATACGTTTATTTCTTTGTTCATTAGATATATACATAGGTGGTGCCCAATTTCGTTTATCTAATTCTATATCATTAACTTTATTATTTATTTTATAATTATAATGATTATCTTTTAACGCATCAATCAGTCGATCTGTTTCATGTGCATCATTAGATAAATTTACATATGTATGTCGTCTAACAGAATTTTGTGAAGTTTTCTTTGGTTGAAGATTACACATATCTAATGAATGATTGGTATCATCAACAATTGTCATTTGATTTGAAAATCACTGGAATCAATTGAACTACTTTGTTTTAGTGAATGACAAGTGTATACAGGATTATTCATACTACTAGTATCAGTAGTAGTAGTAGTGGTAGTAGTAGTAGTAGTAGACAATGATGTCATGATGATATCATTATCCGATGTGGAGACAATAATCGGGTCAACTATATTTGATTTTTGTTCTATAGCTGGATAATTTAAAATATTCCCATGACTTGAAATAGTAAGATAACCAGATGATGAAGAATTCCCTAAATAAATTGGACTAAACTCTGAATGTTCAGTTTGTTCTGGATTAATAATATCGCTACATATATCAATTGATGCAATGTGATTGGATAGTTGTTGGTGATCTATTACTGACGACTTTTGTAATGTATTATTAACGCAGACATTATTGTCAGTATCTATAGTATTCTGATGAATAATTATAGGTTCTTGTGTTTTCCTAGTGCTTTGAACTCTTCTTCGATTATCACGTTGTGTTATTGATGAGAAATCATGATTTGATTCAGTAACTTTTTTAGATGCATTCGGATCAATAGATAAAGCTACATGAGAATCTGTGGGATTCAATATATCATAGATCTGTTCATTATTCGTATCCATCGAGTTATTAAGATTGTTTGAATGTGGAATTTTAATGATCTCTATTGAGTCACATCGTGCTACACGTTCTTGCATACATGAATTTTTATGCTTTCCTTTTGATACAACAAACTTGATATTTGAGTCAGGCTAAAAGCAAACACAATCATAATGATAAAATATTAATTAAATACGTTTAAATTGTTTCGTCACCATGAAGTTAGGTTAGCTTAAATACTTTTCTCATGATAATCTATAAAAGATTGATACGATGTGAAACGTTAGAAGTTCGACTAAGCTATTTAAGCCACGAGTTACACAAACATAAAGCCGAGAAAAGACAGTAGAATTACACTCAATAATGCTATCTACCATGCATAATATTTTTACCTATTTTTCTAGCGAGTTTGTTGATTTGCTTATCAGATAAATGACTAATTTAGTTGTAGAATCGTATTTACCTGATATAATTCACTCTGAGAACAAATAAAAACTCAGCCTGTAGCTCTTCTAGGGTTACTGCCGGTCCCAAACCCACATAAAAGAGGAGGGTTTGGAATGGTGTCAACAACTCCATCCTGTAGAAAACAAACTAGCTAAATGAACACTAACCAAAATAAACAAATTAAACTGCTTAAACTCTGTCCTCCGAATTGAAGGATCTCCTTTCAGAGGAATGACACCTCATCGTGAAAGCCCAGATTCTTCGAAAGTCATGAGGCCGATGCCCCTTCTAACAACCAGAGCAACAACTAATATAAGTACATGGAATGTTCGTACAATGTGGGAGACCGGGGGGATCAATCAAATAGCAACGGAAATGAGATACAACTTAGTGGTGCTCACAATCAGTGAAACAAATTGAACCCAAGTTAGACAGAAAACATTAGATTCAGGAGAGATACTGCTGTACTCTGGTCACGAAAAAAATCCTCCACATACTCAGGGAATAGCTCTGATGCTGTCCAAACAAGTACGTAAAACACTTATAGGATGGGAATCTCATGAATCCAGAATCATCAACTATGAGGAAGCATTTGAAGGTGTGGATAGGACGACATTATGGAAGCTTCTTCAACACTATGGAGTGAGTAGCTGAGAAGATCGTCAACATCATGCAGAACTCATACGACGTACGACACTGCAAAGTGGTGCATGGAGCTGACAGACACATTCAAATGAGGACTGTAGTCAGACAAGGCTGCTTACTCTCCATCTATCTCTTCCTTCTGGTGGTTGACTGAACTATGAAGATCTCCACATCTGAAAGAAAGCTCACAATACAATGGACAGCTTGCATGCAACTAGACGATCACAGATCTCATATTCACCAACAAACACAAATGAAGACAACTAGTGTAGCAGAAGTCTCTGCATCAGTACGCTTCAACATACACAAGGGAAAAAGCAACATGTTCAAATACAACACACAGAACATCAACCAACCGAATCACACATGATTGTGAAACTCTGGAAGAGGTGGAAACTCTCATGAACCTGGACAGTAGCAGCATCATCGATGAACAAGGAGGATCCGATGCATATGTAAAGGCGAGGATTGGAGAAGCAAGGGTCACATTCCTACAGTTGAACAAAATATGCAACTTTAAACAATTGTCTGTGAGCCAACATCAAATTCACAATGTTCAATACGAACATCAACACAGTTCTACTATACGGAGCTGAAACGTGGAGAAATGCTGCAACCATCATCAAGTAAGTACAAGTATTTATAAACAATTTTATACTCAAGATACTCAATGTCCGTTGTCGACCAGATACCATCAACAACAACCTACTGTGAGAGAGAACGAACCAGTTCAAGAGATGGAGGAAACTAGGAAACAAAGTTGGAAGTGAATAGGACATACAGTGAGGAAATCATCAAGCCGCGCCACGATGCAAACCCTAACTTGGGAGCCTGAAGAGAAAAGGAAAAGTAAGAGGCCAAAGAATCTTGCTTTTTCCTTTGTGTATGTTGAGACCTACTGCTGCTGAGGCTGCTGCTACACTGGTCGTCTTCTTCTGCATTTGTTGTTGCGCGTGCGATAAACGGGTCAGATCAAATATACTCATTGTGCTGATCAGTAAATGAGGTATATCAATAATAGAACACAACAGATGTACATACAGGAACAAATAGAAAACGTGGAAAAGAAAAGAAACTCACTGTAATTTTAATTTGTTGTTCTTTAGAATCATGATGAGAATCCTTTCTTTCAGGAAAAACAATTTGTTTAGGTGATATAAAACTAGTGACTGATGAATTTAATGCAGAGATTGTTGCACCATCATCATCATCGGATAGATTTATACTTTTATTGACTGATGATGGTGTATTCATTATTGACTTTGATTCATTATTTGTACATTCATAAATATAAGCATCATTACTTATAGATTTATTTCGATTAGACTGGAAACACAGTGATTTTAAATTGCTTTTAGGCTCATTGTTTATATTTTCATTGATGGTTTTTGCCGTTGTTCTTCTCGTCGGTGTGTTATTCTTTATTGGTGTTGTTGTTTTATTACCACTATGATTACTATTATTATCATTATTATTCATAGTTGTTTTATACCACCAATTTGGTTGAGGATCTTTACCAGACACAAGAAATGTATCTATTTCATCTAGGATTGATTTCAATTCTTTGACATCAGGCATTCTTTTCTACAATTTTATTTTACAGTTATTAATAAGTAAAAAGTTTAAGAATTTAAGTGATTTTCATATGATTATAAGGAATAACTTAAAAATTAAGTAAACGAACGGTTTAACTGGCTCATTTGTGACGTCCAAGACTGTGAAGATGATTGATGTAGGTTTAACTGAGACTGGGAGCACCAGTCGCATATGCGTATTCCTTGTTAACAAGTGTCAATTAGCGAGAAATTTAAGTTGAGGATATCACACTGACTACCTCCAATCGGAAACATTGTAAAACTGACTCATTTGTTTTAGACTTTATTTTGTTTTAAATAAACCGTAAGTCAGAAACCCAGGTACTAATTTGGCTCTCATATTTGAGACAAATGTATTATCTGAAGTCTGTAAAAAATTCTGCTCCCCAAATGCATCAAGGCTTCAGCCTTCCCCCTAATGACATATGGAAAGACAATGATACACCCGAGCATGAATGAATGCGATTGAACATTGTGGATTCCATTCTCAAGTTGAAAAACCGACAAACCCTAATTGATCGATTAGTTAAATATGTCAAGAAATTATAATGATGAACATTTTTGGGAATAGAAACGTATGAATATCCAATGTTTCCCAATTTTCAATTGCTTTATGGGTATGATTTTAGGGAAGGTCGAAATCCATAACTTAATGACACTAGATTTTTGTTATGAAAACGTATTTAGCTTTGTCTTTCTTATTATTTCATTTTAAAATGTTTGCATTTACTATAATTATTCCTGTTGTTCGCTTTTCAAGCTACTGAACATCGAAATATGGAAAACGATACTATGATCGAAACTCGTCTTATGTCAAGACAATACAAACACTTCACTAGAAGACGTATCTTTCTTTTTACAACTAAGTTGCTTTCAACTAATTTATGAAGTACATATTTATGTTCTTAGCCTTGAGCAACGCTAGATGAGAGTTGGTGATGCTCTACGGCTAGCCATATTTTACCAAGCTGAGCAGGATTCAAACCTGAGATCAACTGGCTGAAAGTCGGGTATTTTAACCACTAGTTCATTGCTCCAAAGTTTTTATGCATTCGGATTGTGGTGGTTTTAGAAACTTTTTTATTATAACCCTTTTATTTCGTATATTTTTACTTCGCTTGAGTATACTGCCACGTTTATGAAGTAATTTACTTGTATTAACCAATGGTGAATAACACTTGGGTGTAGTTGTATCAATGTCCATCATGGATAACCAGTCACTAATAATGCTGCCACGCCAAATCGGAGGGAAAGGTTAGACAGGTTTGGTCGTAACGAAACTCTATTCATCTTGCTTCATTTCCGTTCTGCAGTCATTAAAATCACCACCACTAACCCAATTTTCTTTCCAGACCCCTCGAGAAATAACATTTTCCTATAGTGTCACAAATTTAAAAATGAAAACCACCTAGATACTTTTAACGACACATCGATTTACTGTGTAGATCTAACCTAACAACAGCTTTGAGTTTCCTATCAATAAATTCGATATGTTTGCAATTTAAAAATGAAAAAGTTCCATAGAAAAGTGACCTGTTGTCATTTAGAGATGAGCAAGTTCTATTGGCCGACAGATAATAGCAGGAAAGGTTTATTAGATATAGAACATCCAAATCCGTACCGATAAAATAGAATGCATTTATTTTAGTCAGTCATTCAGTCAAACGCAAAATAAAACCTGATATATGTGCATATCATTTCAAGTAGTCATACTCTAGAAGCATAGAGAGATTACATTATCAGATCAGATCTCAGAGTGGTGGAGTTAGCAACAGTACTAATGATAATGAAAAAATATCAGGTATCCGAGATAGAACTTGACAAAATGCAAACTAGATAAAGGGAGAGCCTATCTAGGGTAGTTGGAAAACCCTGATTCCAAACCAATAATGCACATAGGCTCCAGTATTCTGAAGGAACAAATGGCGTATGAACCAATCGTTGGTCACCGGCTACCATGGGACTGACTTGTGGACCAGATTTTAGGTCGATGGCTCCGGGTGTAGCGCCCTAAGAAAACCACCTGTTTCAGTTTTGGCACCTGGGAAGTATCCCAGCCCTCACAAAAATTGAATGATTTATGTGGTGCATATCTATTTGGTGCCTCATTGTACCAATGTTTATGTGTTTAAATACATAAATAATACCATACTGGGATCGGTCCAGTAATTAAATCATAGGGTTATTTTTGAAAGGCTAAACAGGCTAATGTCAAAGAAATAATAGTTATCTGATGTTAAGTAATGAACAGATATTGTTATGTCCGATAAATGAACTATTTTGGTGAAATGAATACTTTTACACCGCTAATGAAAAGATGATCTAAACATACATCATATACATCAATATACATGGATGGTGGTAATATGACAGTATGAGTTATTGTAGAAATGGACGATTCATTGTTATGTATATAAATAGGTCTTCTGAATATTCTGACACTTTGTGTTGAATCTGTGTGGTAACTTTTGGGATCCACTTATGGACCCAATACCATACGTATATTTTTATCGTATAATTGTTGAGCAACTATACTATTCATATTTGTGTTCCACTTATTATAAGCTTTATTTTGACCTATGAACTATTATTATACGATTTACCATTGTTGAGTTGTGCCCTGTCTATTAATTGCTACCTCCCACATTCATAGCCCCTTTTTGCTAGGACTTGTACAAATGTTGTTTCCTATTTTATGGTACGATGTGGTCTGTTTGGTTTGTATATAAACCCGGTATATTTGAAATACATGATTCATATCGCGGAGGCTGGGATTGATGTTCTCGACTCAATGGGCAGAGCTAGGCAGGAAGCAGGACAGATAAGGACTCTAAACTGCTCTTACTTGTTTTATGCGTCATTAGTTCGGTCGATAATTGACTGTTCTCTAATTGGCAGTATCATTACACTATATATTAATAGAGCACAAGGCTACAAGGTGTAACAAAAACAAAAATTGAAACATTATCATAACAGACTTACATCTTCAGGAACTTTTTCAATTGCTTCAGATAATTGAAGATGACATAAAGCTAAACACAAAGGTAGATCAACATGATCTCTTAAGCCTAAATGACCATGTTGGTTTGTTGGTAGAGGAGGTAAACAAATTGAGTTACATATCGATCTTGTAGACTGACACTTCTGAGACATAGAACTCCCACTTACACTTGATTTGAAATCATTCTGTTTATGAAATTATAAAAAAGAATGGTCAGTTAATTAGTTATATTGTAGGAAAGTTGGCAGAATTCTAAGGAAATTTCTAAGAATAATCGTACTCTATCAGATAGCCAAAAGATTATATAACATTCAATTAAAATGTTTTAATTGAGAAAGTGAAGCAATTTCATTGATTATATCACTAAATTAGGTTTAGAATTGTGAAAATAAAATCTATTTCTTTCAGATTCCCAGAAATTAGCAAGACTATAAACTCCCATAAGGTTTCAAGCGGTCATGGAGTAGACGAAATTTCATTCTTTTTCTAGAAAATATAGTGGATCAGATATTTCACTTCTTCTAAATTTATTTAATCCCTCTAGAAACAGGTACTCATTCTCACTGTTGGAAAACTGCATATATCATACCACGTCACATATCTGGAGATGATAGTGACATAAAGAATTATCGGTCCATAAATATTACTCCAGTTATCTCCAGGATTATGGAAAAAATTATTGGTGACAAACTCACTGAAAAACTTATCACTGATTCCTTAAAAATCAACCATGTATGACCTACCAATTTAACTTCTTCAATTTAGTCTCTACTCAACATGACCAACGATATCTAGTTTTAACGTCATGCTTTGACATTTCTAAAGCTTTGACGTGGTAAGCAACCAGCTTCTTATAAGTAAATTTACATCTTATGACGTAAAAAGCCCTCTGCTTCCTCGGTTTCATTCTTATCTCAGTCACTCACACGAAATAGTCGGAACCAACTCCTCCTTGTCGAATCCTATCCCGGTCAAAATGGCGTGATACAATGTAGTGTCTTAGATCTTTTGCTCTTTTTCATTTATATAAATATTTGAAATTGACTCTTTATGGATGAGACTCGTCTATAGGAAGATGATCTGAAAGCAGTGTGTTCATTTTCTCATGAGATGAACAATGTGCAAAATTGCATTAGAATGGAGTTCAACAAAGTAGCCCAATGGTCTTCGAAATGGCAGTTGGAACTTAACACGGTCAAGTGTGGTTGGATGTGCTTCTGTAATACTTCACTTAAGCTAGACTTTACCATAAATGGTAAGGTGTTATCCAAGTTACATACAATAGTGGACTTAGGTACTCCTACAATTTACCCTTCACAGAACAGGTCTCGAAACAGGCCTCCGAACCTCATCATCTGAGTTGAGTAATTCGTAACCTCTATAACGAATCAAGTATTTTGATTTATAAAGTATGTGTTCTACCACTTCAAGAATATTGCAAGTTTATTCTTACTAGAGTTCACATAAATGATAAATTAAGGTTGGAATTCCTTTAGAGACTATTTACACTTATTACATACTACGCACTCATGAGGTTCGTTTTTTATTACAACGATACTACACAGGTGTGACTTGTTTTATAGTAGATCTCCTTTCTTTTATTTCACTGACTGCTTTCTTATTACCTGGTACAGTTTTTATAAACCAGACCATATTGAACCTGTTGGTTTTTGCTTGTCTGTGCTGAGAGTTGACTGTTGTTGCTGAGTGAATCACCTTGAGTATGAACTTTTTAACTTAAGATAACCAATATATATATATGCTGAGAAGCCAGGGCAGTCTTTTGACTTTAGTTGACCTTGGTTACGTTACTCTAGTGTAGTTAACGGTACTTGACTTAGTGTTTATGTTAGGAATAATATTAATACCTGGTTGCCTAAACCGTAATAGATGGACTTACCACTATGCTAGCGCTTGAGTTATCAACTACTGATATCGATACATTTATGGGATTCAGTTCAAATATACACAATTCCTATACTCCTGCTGAACAGTAATGAGATTTGGAAAATAATCAGTAAAATCGATTGAATAGGTACACAAATCATCGTTGTATACACTTTTATCTTCCTGACCCAGACAAGGCAATGCAGACTAAGACCTTGATCAGAAACATTATTGGCCTTCGCCATTAGTATTTCTTGTTTATAGTCTCTTAACTACGGTTTGATGTTGAGATGGTATGTGAGTGCCGAAATATGATATCCTTGGACTTTCCTAGCTTATCAGATACAATAATATAAGTTAAACTGTGAGATAACTACGAGCTAGTGGTAAATAAAAGTAGGGTCTCAGGTTAGCTATGGATCATTTATGATAGCTAGTTACTATTAACTCGAGTGACTTCCATAACAGTTATCACGAGTGTTTGAAAAAACCATACCATGTCCGGAACGAAATGTTGTAGTGGATTATTATCAAGATAATTCCTAATGCTTCGTATATGACTCATCCTGATGACCGTTACTAGATAACTCTCAACGATGTATAAATTTCAGAAGACTATACGAAGCTTTGGGTACAGCATATTATTGTACAGTCCACATCACATAAAGTGAATACGAGTGACTGATAGCGAGCGAATAAAAAGGCATGTGGAGCATATATATATATATATATATATATATATATATATATATATATATATATAATACTCTGTCAAGTGACCTTCAAATCTTTTTGTACACAAATTTGATCAAAACTAAAAGTTATCAACTTACTGATTTACTTGTGATCACTGAACTTGTGAAAATAGGTGAATGCTGAGAATGACTTAGATAATCTTTATAATCATCAATATCATTGATAAATCCACCATGATGTGATTGACTATTATTGATAAAATGATTATTCTCCTTAGAACCATATTTCATTTTATCTTTATTCGAAATTGTAGATTTCAGACAATTTTCATCAGAACCAATTATATGTAAAGAATTTGGCATAGAACCATTATTAGTATTACCGTTAATAGTACTTAGATTACTATTGTTATTATTATAAATATTTGACAAAGAATTAATTGGTTTTAAAACTGTATCACTACTCAATAATGATTTATGTGACGAAGTAGATTTCGGATTTGGGACTGAAATCGATTGTAGAAACTGTCTCATTGCCGGAAGTTGATCTGTAACAAATTGATTCATAAATTTCATATAGGTTTCTTTAGAACCACTGAATAAACTGAAATTTGCTAATGTTTGAATTGTTTTAGCAACCTGTAATATAATTAGAGCAGAGAATATAAAAAAAGACACATTGTATTTACATTAAGAGGACAAAAGAATTTAAAACAGGTAAATTAAAAAGTCTCTTGACTACACACACACACACACGCTATAAATGAAAAAAAACACAACACAATTTTTATGTCTTTTTCGCCAGCGTCTAACCTAAGTTGTAGTTCTTTTTCGGCTTCCCGTCTTTTACACGGTCTGCCAACGGCAAGTCCTTAAGGATAAAAACTCCTGAACCCTTTAATTTATGTCCATTTTGTAAAATTAAGTCGCGATCATTCGAAGAGTTGAATACTACTTTAAGCAGTCTGGATTGATTAGGCTTCAAGTTTGCTAGATTACCTAGTCTGTACACCTTTAGGAAGGTGACTCCGGGATATTATGAGGCATGAGTTGATTAAGTAGCTGTTTTATCAGCAAAATCTCATGATCAAAACGTGTTTTTCGTTCAGAGCTTTCACTATCCTAGATTGTATGGAAAATAACTGATCTGTCACTGTGATCAGTCTTCGATTTCTCGACTACTTTTATGGAGGCAGGATTCCCTTTTATATCGTTATGTTGTTTCTTCGTTACAATCTGTACCCAATCGTCAAGGTTGAAAGGAGGAGCAACCACAGTTGAGTCAAACATACTGTGGGATTCCGGAGGGTTGTCGATGATTTGAGAGGTTAGGTTATGTTTCCCGCTAGAAACCGTTCGAGGCTTGCGATTGCGGCTTCTAGGCGTTTTCTGCAACAAGCTGGCGTAATCCAACCATTCAACTTCTCTGCATGGGCCGCACCGATGGTAGTGATTAAGAGGGCCAATGTAACTATTAGCATATGTGCTGATTTCTCAACCGGTTTAAATGCTGCATTGGATGTATATCAATATCCGTTACCAGTTCCTGAAGACCTGTTTTCCAAGCTTAATGGTGGGACATGTTTCACGAAAATAGACTTCTCCGATGCCTATTTGCAAGTGCAAGTAGATGAAGACAATAGAGAGCTTCTGAGCATTAACACTCATCGAGGGTTATTTCCATACACCCGTCTACCATTTGGCATCAAGAGTGCACCTACCATCTTTCAGAAAATAATGGATACGATGCTAACAGGTATATCTGATACAGCAGCTTATCTAGTTCAGCTGGTCATCTGAAATAGGCATCTTGAATTTGTTTTCCTTCTTCCTCGTCGCCACTGTTATAATTCTCTCTTATTACAACCTAGCTATTCCCTTTGCTTAGTATTCTTGAACACCAATTCACTCAATAGGGCCCCAAATCAGAACAGGGTCGAACAGGAAAGAAATCGTATTCCAAATAACAATGGTAGATGAAAGTAAGAAGTACAACAAGAAAAACAATGAAAACAACGCGCACGCTAATTAAAAAGGCAGTATTTTTCCTCGCTGAGTAAATTCTATTGTTTTGATCGTTTGTTATGTATCAAGACTACTGTTTTCACTTTAATTGAATTTATTTCAGTTAAAGTATTCGATTAGAGTATCGTTTCTGTTTCTAAATTAGTTTGACGTCGGTACTTTGTTTTCTATTGTATGTTAGTACTTTTGGTTCTAACAATCTACAGTTTTCCACTTTTTTTGGTCATAGATCATTTTTGTCTCTGAGTATTATTGCATCTAGTTCTTTTTTTTTAAAAAAAAACCCTGTTTAATGACTGGACACTGCAAAAAAAGCAATTGCCAACGTCCGGGTTGTCGTTATGCCGTTGAAAGCTGGATGCAGTGCGATGAGTGCAAAGGTTGGTACCACGAAGTTTGAACGAATTTAACGCCTGCGGCTTTCAAACGGTTCAGTAAAAACGGTTGCGTACGGCTTTGTCAACAGTGCTGTTCGGATGCAAACAGCTTGTTAGCCGAGGCCATTTCACTGCTAGATGCTGCGAAAAAGTCTTTTAGCAAGCGTAGTCGGGACACATCGAACAGTACTCGCTCTGTCGACATGCAAATTGGTGTGAAGCAAACTCATGTGAGTTCGGAAATAGGTGACTCACACCGATCAAAAAAGGAAAAACAGTCTCCAAAGAGGTCTGTCTTAATCAAAAACCCAAGAAAAGTTTTTTCTGTTCCCTGTCTTCGAAATGGTATCCAGCAGGAAACGCCTAGAAGCCGCAATCGCAAGCCTCGAACGATTTCTAGCGGGAAACATAACCTGACCTCTCAAGTCGTCGACAACCCTCCGGAATCCCACAGTATGTTTGACGCAACTGTGGTTGCTGCTCCTAGTAACCTCGATGAAAACCGGATACTTTCGGAGAAGCAGCACGGTTTCAGAATAGGTTATTCTTGTCTCACTAACTTATTAGTGGCTCGTGAAAGCTGGCGCGCTCTTAAGGACCAAAAGCTACCTGCAGACGTCGCCTTCATTGATTTCAGTAAAGCTTTTGACAAAGTTCCGCACAACCTGCTGTTATATAAGTTAAGAAAAGTCGGGATTGGAGGCAATTTATTGATTTGGATAAAACACTTCTTAGTTGGGCGTCAACAAAGAGTTCGGGTGAACTCAAAGTTATCTAGCTGGGAAACTGTGCTTAGTGGAGTGCCCCAGGGTACAGTTTTGGGGCCAGTGCTATTCCTCTTGTATTTAAATGACCTTCCTTGTCTCCTATCATCATCGGTCTTGTTATATGCTGACGATGTCAAGATATGGAGAACGATATGATGTAAGAGTGATAGCTTAGAACTTCAAAATGCCCTGAAGAAGTTATCTGAATGGTCTCAAACATGGCAGTTGCCGATAAATACTTCCAAGTGTGTTGTGATGCATATCGGTCATCAAGGCACAGATACACACACGATGAATAACACTGAGCTACCTGTCGTCCAGACACATAATGACTTAGGAGTCATCGTTAACCAAGACGTAAAGTTTACTCCACACTGCCGTGCAATAGCCGCCAAAGCTTTTAGAACCTTATGGTCAATACGTAGGGCTTTTAGTCATGTCGACGCTAAGTCGTGTTCGACTTTGTATACAGTGTTTGTACGTCCTAAACTTGAGTACTGCATACAAGCGCTAGCCCCTGTTTAAAAACAGACAGTGAACTTCAGGAAAAGGTTTAGAGAACAGCAACTAAGCTGATTCCCGGAATAGCGAAGCTTCCGTATGATGCTCGACTGGCCAAGCTAAACCTTTTCCCGTTGTCATATCGCAGAAATAGAGGCGACTTGATTACAGTTTTCAAATTGCTTAGTGATAAATTTGCACCTGATATGCCATCATTTTCCTTGTCTTCCAAAACAGAATTTACGAGTACACTCCGGAACAAATTACTTGTCAGATGACTATCGACTTTCCCATCGAATCATCAACGAGTGGAATTCATTACCTCAGCACGTGGTTGAGGCTCCATCCGTCGATTTTTTCAAAAGAAAGTTGGATCAACTGAGAGACCACCATTGCCAGGACTAACACAGGCCATCAAGCCTCCTGTCCTTTCCAAACTGAAACTGAAACATATTTATAGTTTTTACATGAGAAGATTTTAGAATGTTCTCCAAGTATCGGCAAGCGCTGCACCAACGCAATCGTTCTATATCCCGCTAACAATATTTAGTTTCTGAATATCTATCAACTGAAAATCAAGGATTATTAAGTTTTTCGAAGTCCCATAAAACTAAACAGACCTTGTTCATAGAGGTATCCTGCTTACAAATAGTTTTCTTAATACAAATAAATAATTTAGTATAGAAGTTGACCTTTAACCTGTCTTTGCGCAAAGACCAGATAATATTTAGAAGCTTGGCTTTCAAGTCAGTTAGCAATCAATATTAATCGAAATCAACTCAATTTATCAACCAATTAGAAAAATTATGGAATGCAGGATCAAGAATCAGGTCAAAGGGAGAGACAATCAAAATAAATACTCAAATAGTGACAGGTTAAAGGTCAACAGGATAATCTATTAGTCGTATATAGAGGGATTTGAATAACTCACTTTTACCTTAAGTTTGTCCTGATATTATTCAGAAGAATAATCGATATTTCATGAATACATCGCCTAGATCGAGGAATGAAACTTTATCAAAATCATCTACCTGAGCTCATAAACTCCCCCACTATCCCATTTAGAGTACGTCACACAAATTCAAGGCTTTTAAATAAAATGCCTAAAAATTTACACTACTTGATATTTACAGTTAATTTTACTATTCAAAATTACTTATTCATAACATTGTTATCAGTTTAATTCCACATGCATAAATGTTCGTCAAATAAAAACAAGGCCTTTATCATGATAATCAGCCATTAAAATCTACGTGATTTAAGAAACAACCATAGAAACTATTTTACAACAATGTTAAAGCAAAATATGTCAGGAATACGTCGTTAGTTTGCATAATCTGATGTATGTATTTTATTCAAAACCACCTAACCACAGCCAATTACATCACAGTGGATGTTGTCATAAGCAAGCAAGAACCTGGAAAAAATATATTTCGGTTCAATTTATCACACTTTACACTAGCATATCAAAAGGAAATTATCAAGATGGATGGCTAAGAATTTCAAGCCGTAAAAATCATTGGAAAATTAAGATTAGTAGTACTTCTAAACTCAGGATAGTGACCGAAGAAAAATGATGTGAATATAACCAAGACGCTGGAAATATTTTCCAGCCATATCTTTTCTCAATTCTTTAACTTTGAATAATGATTACTTAGTGAACCTCAACCAAGACGTTAACACCACAACCACGTCGAACGGTCATTGACTTTGGTATAGGTTTGTGGACGTTAGTCTAAATAACGTCAGTTTGTGATTTAAACTACAATAATTTAACAATTTCATCGACTGATGCCATGTCTCGGTCTAGCTGACCCCAACATTTTTAAAATCTATTCTCTTTTGCGGTTAATATGGTATATTGAACTAGTCTGTGGTATTAGGTGATAAGTAACATAAGTTCCAATAAAAAGATTTTCATATTCATCAATTAATGTGAGGTTGATTGTTTTGAAAAATACGAAGATGTTGTAAGTTTCTAAAATCCAAATGATCTATTTATACTCATGTTGAAACCACACTGGTCACAAACCTACTTAAATAGGTTCATTAGTCGATATATCCAACTTTCAGTATAGGGTTGTGGAGATTATTGAGTTTTTGAGATCATGAACTGATTGATGTTAGACGAACATCGAAAACCTGAAAGCACTGGACGGCCGTTTCGTCCTATTGTAAGACTCCTCAGCAGTGCGCATCCACGATTCCACGAGCGGGATTAAAACCCACGACCGTCAGTCTTGCGCGCGAACGCTTAACTCCTAAACCATTGAGCCGGCCGGAATCCAACGGTGTTAATGTCTAACCTCAATCAATCCACGAAACATCTATCAGCTTATATAACAGTTCATAGCTTAAGTTTGAAGTCTAGTTAAAAGATTGACAATTTTATATTATCTAAAGGTACATTTAGATATCAATTTCCATTATCGCTTTAACAAGAAAACAAATGTCTATCTGTAATGATATGTTGAGTAAATTATATTTATATCAGAAGGGTTTTTTTGAATATATTGTAGTAATTTCAATGGTTAAGATCATGAGTCACTTGAAGCTAGACAACCATGGAAAACCTGGAAGCACTGGACGACTGTTTCGTCCGATTGTGGGACTCCTAAGCAGTGCACATCCACGATTCCGCCTCGCGAGATTAGAATTATTTATTATTATCATATTTTCTAAAAAACAAATTATCACTTACCAAAGTGAATGCACGTAATATACGTGGTTCACTGGGAAATTCATAAATTAAATTAAATAATGAAGGTGATAAAATAGCTGGACAAATATAACGTAGAAATAAACAAGCTGATATAACATGTTCACATAATGTACCACCATTATTAATTGTAGAATTAGAAGAATTTAATCCATCATAATGTTTATTAGAAATATTATTCATTGATGAATAATTACTTTTTATACCATTTTCTAAATATCGTCTAATCTCTACAATAATGCTCTAAATTGTCTATAGAAACAAAGAAACAAAGAAGAAAAAAAAGCGTTAAACATGACAAACAATATATTACACATGGAATAATATATAGAGTAATGGTTTAAGGATATTCAACAAGTAAATCGTTGATTTAGTTAGTCGCGTCATGTATATACTACCCATCAGACACTTTCCAAGGCGACTAGATAAACCTATACTTGGTAAATGAATTAAAACACAATACATTGATCACTTTGTTATAATTCTCTCTCACGGTTATAACCCAGCTACTCCTTACTTACTTACTTACGCCTGTTACTCCTAATGGAGCATAGGCCGCCGACCAGCATTCTACAACCCACTCTGTCCTGGGCCTTCTTTTCTAGTTCCATCCAATTCTTGTTCATTTTTCTCATGTCTATCTCCATTTCCCTGCGTAATGTATCCTTTGGTCTTCCTCTTTTCCTTTGTTTAGCCTTGAGGATTCCATGTGGGGGCTTGTCTTGTGACGCAGACGGGTGCTTCCCTCAATGTGTGTCCTATCCACTTCCAGCGCTTCCTGATTTCTTCCTCGGCTGGGATCTGGTTTGTTCTCTCCCACAGTATGTTGTTGCTAATAGTGTCCGGCCAACGGATCTGAAGTATTTTGCGTAGACAACTATTAATAAACACCTGTATTTTCTGGATGATGACTTTCGTAGTCCTCCAGGTTTCCGCCCCATACAGTAGAACTGTCTTGACATTTGTATTGAAAATTCTGACTATGGTATTGGTTGACAGTTGTTTTGAATTCCAGATGTTCCTCAGTTGTAAATATGCCGCTCTTGCTTTGCCGACCTGCGCATTCACATCTGCATCAGATCCACCCTGTTCATCAATCATGCTGCCCAAATACGTAAAGGTTTTTACATCTTCCAAATCTTCTCCGTCAATTGTGATTGGATCGGTGCATTCTGTGTTGTATCGGAGAATCCTGCTTTTCCCTTTGTGTATATTGAGACCTACTGCTGCTGAAGCTGCTGCCACACTGGTCGTCTTCTCCTGCATTTGTTGTTGCGTTTGGGATAGAAGAGCCAGATCATCTGCAAAGTCTGGATCGTCCAACTACATCCTAGATGTCCATTGTATCCCGCGTTTCCCTTCAGATGTTGACGTCTTTATGATCCAGTCGATCACCAAGAGAAAGAGAAAGGGTGAGAGTAAGAAACCTTGCCTAACACCGGTCTTCACGTCGAACGACTTTGTCAACTGTCCTCCATGCACGATTTTGCAGTGTAATCCATCATAAGAATTCTGTATGATATTGACTATCTTCTGAGGCACGCCGTAGTGTCGAGGAAGTTTCCATAGTGTTGTTCTTTCCACGCTATCAAATGCCTTTTCGTAGTCAATGAAGTTGATGTAGAGTGATGAATTCCATTCAATTGATTGTTCCACAATGATCCGTAGAGTTGCGATTTGGTCTGTACACGATCTATCCTTACGGAATCCTGCCTGTTGGTCTCGAAGTTGGGCGTCTACGGAATCCTTCATTCTGTTTAACAATACCCTGTTGAAGACTTTTCCTGGTATTGAGAGAAGAGTGATGCCCTTGTAGTTATCACAGTTGCTGAGAACGCCTTTCTTTTGTATTTTGACCAGAAGTCCTTTTTTCCAGTCTCTTGGTACTTGTTCCTCATCCCAAATCTTATTGAAGAGAATGTGGAGTATCCTTGCAGTTGCCGCTACGTCTGCTTTTAGTGCCTCTGCTGGGATGTTGTCTGGTCCTGCTGCTTTGCCACTCTGGATTTGTCTGATGGCCATGCTAATTTCTTCAATTGTTGGTGGGCTAACGTTGATTGGGAGGTCCGTGGGTGCTGCTTCGATGTTGGGTGGGTTCAGTGGAGCTGGTCGTTTCAAGAGTTTATTTAAGTGTTCTACCCACCTGTTTTATTGCTCTTCAGTGTTGGTGATTACCTCACCATCCTTGCTTTTCACTGGTCGTTCTGGTTTGCGGCGATTTCCAAAGTTTCTTTGTCGTGTCATACAGTTGTCTCATTTTTCCTTCCAGCTATTCCTATTGCTTAGTAATCTCGGACACCGATTCTTGAGAGATTTCTTGAGTGTTCACTAAGTATTGACTAACGCTGCGTGGTTAAGAATTAGCCAATCAGCGTGCACCAAAGCAATCGTGCATTGAGCATGCTTTAATCCAGTCTATGTCCCGCTAACACACTTTTATACAAAAATAATCTAATTCCATTGATGTGAAGATATACTGTTGGTTCTAAGTTCGAGGAAGTAAGAGCGATTAATGTAGTTTATAAACTGACCTAGGATAAACCCAATATTTATAAAGAATAGGTTGATATATTTGACTTAGAGCAACACTTTATGCAAGGATTAGATATATTAATTGGCTACCGAAAACCAATGTAAATTAAGTAGTAAAGTTCGAACTTTAGTTATAATTTATTTCAGACTCAGTGGTGTTCCAATGCATTGGGTTTCACTAATTAGCCAGTTACTTTTAGTCATTCAGTAAAAAAAGGTTCACTAGTAGCTTTATTCGATCGAACAGATAGTTAAGACATTTTTTTACATGACTATAAATCTTCATTCTAAAATTCATGGTGTTTTTCTGAACTGAGAGCTCTCTATTGAAGATGAGTGCTTCAATCCGCTAATTAATAAATGAAAAATGTCGTTCAATGACTGAGCTGTCTTCCTACTGATGCTTATGATCTCTTTGTTGCGTTACCTCAATTGAAATGACTAATATCTGTTAAAAATTAGTCCATAAAATAAACACCTCAATAATGACATTTGTTATACACCGATCCAACTCCCAGACAAATCCATACTACGCAAAAGACAATTATTATAAATCTGAAGTTTAACATATGTAAGATAAACGAGTATTTGATACTCAGTGGAAAGATCGACACTCATCATTAGATAAACAAATAGATGAATCCCAAAAGAAGGAGCAATATATATAGGCTTAAAATAGTCAATCATGTACTGATTCACTAACTGGAATGTATACACAATCAGTTAAATAAAAGGCATCAAGATTACATCGAATTGAAATAATAATTGAAAAAGGAAATTTACTCTGGAAATTCAACTTCACTTAATAGAATCCGCTTCCATACAGTTTCAACTAAACCTAATAGATTAACTTGATTTTGTGCTAATTGTGTAGATGTTTGCACTTTGGCTATATCAACTTCATAATCGATTGGATAACGATTAGATGTTTTCAATTGTGGATCAACTGGGCGGCCACTGATAACAATTTGAACAAAATCAGATAAAATATTTGATAAATAAGAACCACCAACAAGACGTAGATAAATTTCTGTTGCTTTAGTTGCTATACTGTTAGCACGTAAAACCATATTTGGATCACCTTGATAACGAAAAGATGATGAGATTGAAATAAAAATTGAAAATACACTAAAGAGTAGTATAATGAGAAAGTGATGACACTAGAACAACTCAGTCATAACTAACATAGGAACGTGTATGAGTATATATCGGTTAGATGAATTCATGTACTGATCCTATGTTGTGATCACACATTTAATAATGTTATTTGACTAGCCGCTAATGACAGTACAAGTTTCCTACGATTCTTCTTTTTTACATGTTTTGGTAAACCAAGGGTAACGATTTTAGCAGAACAATAATATTCAAATTACTGCCAGTTACTTAAAGGTATTCTTGAAGTTCTAGTGAGAAGTCGTGACTGGTGGGATCAAGTTAGTAGTGAAAAAATGGTCTTCAATGGCATAGGATGACTGTCGCATTATATTATAAAACTTATTGGTGTTAGAAATCAACACCAATGGATCCTAACTCAGTGATCTGAGAGTTGAGCCCTAGACACGAGATCTGAAGGTCTCAGGTCCGATCCCTAGAGGAGAGATCACGGGTGAAGCACTACTGACCATTACTGGCCAGTTATTACTGAACCCAATGGTACCCAAATGAGATCAATCTACGAAAAATGTAGACTACAAATAATATGAAATCATCTATTCCGAGTTCTATACATACAGTCAGTCAGTCAGCTACAACGTAGGACCAGGCACATGTATGCATCGGCCCAGGTTGCCATACCTCATTAGCACAGCAAGATGAACACTGGATTCATAGGAGTGGTTAGGTCAAAGGTGGTAATATATAGGAGAAAGATTGCAATAAGGATATAGTATAGGAAGAAAGAATTAGTTCGTAGAAAGAAAGATGTGAAGTGATCTTAATCTCTTAGTTTAAGAGAAGACAGAGAGTGTATACACCGACGCCATTGTGATCGATTCTGAGCCATGTCACCAAGGGTCTCCAACCATTGGTTACGAAAGTCACGCGGACCCCAACCAAGTAGTCTGCATCTACCAACATGGCTCAGACTAGAAGTTAGTGACTTCAGGCACTGATGCCACGTTTTGGTTTGGCCGCCCCTAACTTTCTTCCAACCATCCCCTACACCGGTTAGCATTGCACGTCGCGGTAATCGGTGTTCAGGCATACGTAATACGTGGCCCAACCATCTCAGTCGATGAAGATTCATAACCTCATCAACTGATTTACCATCATTCCCTAATACCCTGCGTCTAACCTCACTATTACTTACCCGGTGATCCCAGCAGATGCCAGCAATATTTCTAAGGCATCTGTGGTCAAATACTAGTAGCTTACGGGTGTCTTCTACTCTTAAGGGCCATGTTTCGCTGCCGTAAATTAAAACAGAACGGACTGCCGCGCAGTATACTCGTCCTTTTATTGATAGACGGATATCTCGCCTCCGCCAAAGGTGACGTAAGTTGGCAAAAGCCAAACGAGCTTTACGAATCCGTGCTGAGATTTCGTCAGACACCAACCCATTAGGGCTGATCAGACTTCCAAGATAAGTGAAGTTGTCAACACGTTCGACTACTTCACTCCCTATCCTTAGTTCAGGTGTTGACGCAGACCAG